CTGCTGTGTTCATCCAGCTCTACACCTTGTTATCTCAGATTTTCCAGCATCTGCAGTTCCTACTATCTCTGATACACCTGCCACTTGGCTGGCTAGCACCATCAGCATGATTAATACAGGCTTCGGTGTCAAAATGATTTCATGATTAAATAAGGCAGCAGAGCATTAAGGGTAGTTAAGGCAGGATGGAAATGTTTAATTACATAAACCAGTCTGGTAGAAAATTGAAATGAGTTAGAAAACTTGAAATCCTTTGCGTGTATTGGCATTTCATGAGACTGGTGTGTCCATTCTAAGCTACAAATTGAACTGAACAGCTAAAGGAGCAGGTTTCTCATTACCAAGTGTTCCAGATTGACACTAGTAATCTCTTATTTTTGGAGAAGAAATTAATTTTCTATGGATACAGTAAGAAGGATGTAAAAGGGGGTCCATCCAGGCTGACCAGGCTGTAAAACTTTGATTCATTCTTACCCCTTGGACAACTTTTGGCTTTTTAAATTTCGAAGATTCAATGAGGCAGAAGTGTGTACCTTCCATGGGTAAGCACCAGAAATCTGGCAATTTACAATGCTGTGGGGGCAGAAGGTAACCCTTGTAGGTTCATGATCTCCATATCAACTGTGGCTATCAATGTGGCACAAGCACTAAAACTTCATTGTTCTGGACTTAGCCCCAGTGTGGTTTCTCAACACGTTAAAGCCTGTTTCTCAACAAATTGCTTTTGCTGTTACAGCATCCTTCATTCCAAAGCTGTCTAACATATCAGCTACTGGTCACATTTGGCTGATTGAGAATCCAGATGTGTTACATTCAATTTCTGATTAGTAAATAAAAGATGAATAATAAACTCCAGCGTTGAGCGTTTGATCTCAATATTCATTCACTCAGTCCTTTCATGTGGACTTTAACCATTTGTTGGTAAAATAATCAGACAGAAATCAGCGCGCGGTTTACTTTTTCGATTTATTTTGAGGGCTCTCCTTCCTTGGTCACCCATTCCTGCAGACAGATGTACCTGCTGCTGTAGGGAGCTCCCAGGGTTCCCAGCACTGGCAGTGACTTCAGCTGTGCTCACATTCAAATACCAGCTGTCCACACCAGCCCTGCAGCGTTGTGTTTAATTGTCCTGGAGCCGTTGGATTGAGGGTAATTGGAAACCACTTTGCCGATGGGGAACCTGGAAATCCTAGTGGACGGGAGTTAGGTCTGGGAAGATGAATTTGCAGAGGTTGCAGTCTCCCTGAAATAGTTTGGCTTTGCCCTGATGCTGCTGTCACAATGTAAACATGCCCAAAATCTGGTGAATGAAAAGGAATGGATTTTTTTTTTCAAAGTTAACTGTATGTTTCTAAGGCGCTGCTTTGCTACTATTTATCGAACTTCTCTTACAGCAGTGCAGAATCGATTATCGCATATCAAGGCCATCGTTTCTGGATAGAGAATTTTGAACTCAGTTCAGATTGGGCACTTACATCTGGGAAGGAGACATTCATCATCCGAATGGGGACTTTACGGGCATTTCCATGCTCCTGATAACAGCTAGTTGGAAGATATCACGCTTGCAGGACCATTATGCCTTATGACACATAATTGCGGGAAATTTTGTCAGGAAATACTCCGTTCCTGTAACTTCAGCAGGAGTTCCATTTTCATTTGGGTTTCTATGAAGCTTCCACCAATGGATATTTTATTGTTCATTTATGGGGTAGGCTTGCACTGGGAAGGCAAGTTCATTTCTTGTTTATCCGTACTAGAACTAAAAATGCGGAGGCCCAGATTCATGCTCGGGGTACCTGGGTTCAAATCCCACCTCAGCAGCTGGTGGAACTTATATTCAGTTATTTGGCCTGGAATTGAAAACTAGCCTCAGAAATATTGACCGTGAAACTATTATAATTTTTTGTGAAAATTCGTCGGGCTCACCACTGTCCTTTAAAGAAGGATGTCTGACCTACGAAGGAAAACAGAAGTTGCTGGAAAAGCTCAGCGGGTCTGGCAGCATCTGTGAAGAAAAAAAAATTCGAATTAACGTTTTGGGTCCGATGACTGATTTTTTTTTCTTCACAGATGCTGCCAGACCCGCTGAGCTTTTCCAGCAACTTCTGTTTTTGTTCAGAGATAGCAAGAACTGCAGATACTGGAGTCAGAGACAACACAGTGTGGAGCTGGAGGAACACAGGCAGCATCAGAGGAGCAGGAAAGTTGCCGTTTCGAGTCGGGACGCTTCCTCAGAAATGGGGGAGGGGAAAGGGTTACCGGACCCCAGGAAGGTGTGAATTATGCTGAGGCTGAAGAAGGGTCCCGACCCGAAATGTCAGCTTTCCTGCTCCTCTGATGCTGCCTGGCCTGCTGTGTTCCTCCAGCTCCACACTGTTATTTCTGTTTTTAGTTGCCGATTTACAGCATCCGCAGTTCTTTCGGTTTTTATGTCTGACCCACATGTGACTGCAGAACCACAGCAATGGGGTTGGCTCCAAACTGTTCTTTGAAGTGGTCTAGCAAGTCACTATTTCCGGGTGAGGAGCAAATGCTGGCATCGTCAGCAACATCATAATCCCATTAAACAAAACGAAGATAGTGGTGAGCCAGCTGCAGGAGACAGTTAGAGTGTAATTTAGTGTTTTATGTTTAGACACAGTCATTGAGACTTGAGC